TTCTCCTGAGGAGAGGAGACAGAGGAGGAGAGTCAGCAACACATCAGCTCCAACATCACTGACAGACAACAAGGATCATCTACAGTCTGACCTTCAACCTTCATTACCTTCAGTTCCTCTGATGGTTCTGATAGAGATCTGTGTTTACTGCAGGTTTGAATCTGGAACAGAGCAGAGATCAGAATCAATATCATCCAACAAGACATTTTAATCTCAATCCAACTAAATCTATCTCTGCCTTTGCTGTTAAACCTTCATGATCCTTTCATCAACTTTAGTTCTTTAATATTCTAGATACCCAGAAATAGACACCAAGTCTAAAAAGATTAAAAACTGTTGATAGTAAATTGATCTGATCTGCTGAGACTATAAATGCTAAATGGACTGAATTTTCTAATCATGTCGATCATTCAAAGCTATTTCCACTAGATCCACATTCATCCACACTAGAACTCCAACCATCAGAGGAACCTGGATTAAATCATCCTTCTTTATATTGATTGTAGGGAGGATCAGATTAATATTACTGAACTACTTTTTTCTGAGGACATAAAATGTTGAAATAGAACAGTACAAATATCTGAGAAAAAACTAGATTCAAAGTTATTGTTACAAATACACTTAGCTGTGCTACAGGTGGATACACAAAAATAATGGTTAGAAAAAATAAAAAGGTTTCTAATTAAACCAACTTTGAATTTCAGCCAAAGGAACCAACAGAAAACATCATAAACTTACTCAGTTTCTCTTCTTCTTTTCCTGCAGCTCCATGACACAGAGATGATCATTAAACTCCTCAGTCTCTCTGCTACAACGTCTCTGAGATAAAGGATCAATCTGAGAAACATGAGCAACATCAGAGCAACTAGTTGCTGTTATAGGAGAGAGAAGCTACTTCCTTCAGGACCTGTGGTCCTTTGCCACATGTCTTTTAAGCTCTGTTACCGCCCCCCCTTTTGTAAGGAGGAGGGGAGTAACGCGACAACCACAAAAATTGACAGAGTCCAGGTGAATGTTTTAAAAGACATAGGGATTTATTAACAACAAAAATCCCAGAAGGCTTGTACACACTGTGGGGGAGAAAGGGACGGTTAGGTGGTGCCAAATAAAAAACAAAACAGGGCCTAACTACCATCTATTCTACAGAAAAGAAAATAGAAAACAAAANGTTCAACCTGAAATGACTCATTTAGTCATCCATAACGTTATGGAACACATTAATTAACTGAAAAATGTTGCATAGTGTGCCTTTAATAACCTAGAAAACATTGACAGGCAGCTTCTAATATTGAACATTCTGCCCAGTGCATGCTGGGAAAACTAACTTCTGCTTCCCCAACACACTACAATATTTAACTAAACAAAGGGAAGCTGATATCATCAGGGTCTCCAAGGCCCAAACAATAAACCAAAAGTGTCCATTCTGGCTAAAATGTAAATCAGTGTCTCCTGCCAGACTAAATAAAATGAGAATATCTGAGCTCCCTGGAAAACCACAGAACAGGAGAAAACTAAGTCCCAGAAAATGGCAGAGATCCCCTACAAAGGTTCTGATCCACAATACAGCTTTAACAGGTAGAGTAGAAGAAAGCAGAGCAACTCATTGACAGAATGAAACAAAGCTATCAACAGAATGCCTTTTAGCCACAGACACTAATACCCAAGAGGAGGGAATGAGGTCTGGATCACTGAGGCTTTAATGCAGCCTGGAGATCTGCTAAACAAAGAACACTGTCCTGGGAAGAGAAGAGCGCCCCAAGAGGCCAGAGGCTGTAATTATTATTATTACAAGAATTTCATTCAGTAAAATATAGAAATCTACAAAACAGAGCAGCTAGGAAGTAATTCAGTCTTTTTCTTCAGTTTTGTTCTGTTTTTCTTTCTGAACCAAATCCTCCACATGATCAGAACCATCAGAGCTGCTGTCAGTCCCAGTGGGATGAAGATGAAGGTCCTTCCTCGTCTCTTTGGTTCTGGAGTCAAAGTTGGTCTCTGAGTTTGGATCTGATCAGCAGCTGCTGGAGAGAAATCAGAAATATTTATTTCTACTTGTTCATGTTTCAAACTGAGATTCAGGAGGCTTCATCTAGAAGATGGAGATGTTTGTTCATCAACACAGTAGAAAGAAAAATACATTTAGATTATTTCTACTAACCAGAGACGTTAAGGTAACATCTTCCAGAGTTGAAGCCATAATCAGTCTTTACATCACAGAGATACAGACCAGAGTCTTCAGTCCTCAGTCTGGACACATGGAGTCTGATTCGTCCTTCTCTGAGGACGTCTTTGTCACTCTGGACTCGTCCTGAAAACTTTTCAACCTGAGACTCTAAAATCTCGGTGCCATGATGAACCCGATACAGAGGGAACTCTCTGTTAGTTAACAAGCAGCAGTAGATAAACAGTTGTGTCCAGGTTCTGCTGGGTCTGGTGGTGAAGGTCCACTCCAGAGTGATGTTGTGGTTCTCCTCTGCCTGATAGGAGCTCTGTGTCACATTCACTACAAATGTTGCTGCTGAGGAGACAGAGAGGGAAAGAGAGGAGCAGACACACTGAGAACTGGAACATGGGAGTCTTTAAACTCCATCTCTAGAGGTTTCTTTCTCATGATGGTCTCTGTCCTGTCAGAGC